AATGGAAGGAGTATCAGACCACTGCAAATCTACCAAGACCCGGCCGTCCCTCCAAACTTTCATCTCAAACAAGGAGAAGACTGATCAGAGATCTAGCCAAGAGGCCCATGATCACTCTGGATGAACTGCAGATAACTACAGCTGAGGTGGGAGAGTCTGTCCATAGGACAACAATCAGTCGTGCACTGCACAAATCTGGCCTTTATGGAAGAGTGGCAAGAAGAAAGCCATTTCTCAAAGATATCCATAAAAAGTCTTGTGGGAGACACACCAAACATGTGGAAGAAGGTGCTCTGGTCAGATGAAACCAAAATCAAACTTTTTGGCCACAATGCAAAACGATATGTTTGGCGTAAAAGCAACACAGCTCATCACCCTGAACACACCATCCCCACTGTCAAACATGGTGGAGGCAGCATCATGGTTTGGGGCTGCTTTTCTTCAGCAGGGGCAGGGAAGATGGCTAAAATTGATGGGAAGATGGATGGAGCCAAATACAGGACCATTCTGGAAGAAAACCTGTTGGAGTCTGCAAAAGACCTGAGACTGGGACGGAGATTTATCTTCCAACAGGACAATGATCCAAAACATAAAGCCAAATCTACAATGGAATGGTTCACAAATAGACGTATCCAGGTGTTAGAATGGCCAAGTCAATGTCCAGACCTGAATCCAATCGAGAATCTGTGGAAAGAGCTGAAGACTGCTGTTCAAACGCTCTCCATCCAACCTCACTGAGCTCGAGCTGTTTTGCAAGGAAGAATGGGCAAGTTCCAGTCTCTCGATGTGCAAAACTGATAGAGACATACCCCAAGCGACTTGCAGCTGTAATTGCAGCAAAAGGTGGCGCTACAAAGTATTAGCGCAAGGGGGCCGAATAATATTGCACGCCCCACTTTTCAGTTTTTTATTTGTTAAAACAGTTTAAATAATCCAATAAATTTCGTTCCACTTCACGATTGTGTCCCACTTGTTGTTGTTTCTTGACAAGAAATTTTATTTATATATCTTTATGTTTGAAGCCTGAAAGGTGGCGAAATGTTGAAAGGTTCAAGGGGGCCGAATACTTTTGCAAGGCACTGTACATAACCATTACGCCACCAACAAGCATGTATATTACAATTCCTAAAGGAAAACTATATATATATATATATATCATAAAATATCACCTATACCAACACCTGTTAACCCAGAAATGCGTTTGTAGCACATATTTCACTTTCTCAAATCATATCATTTGATGTGTTCAATTTCCCCATTAAAATGAGTTGCGGACATGAGGTTGTTAACAAATGCAAACGTTTATAAGTTTTATTCTTAGCCACTACATGATCCTACATTAAGTGTCGATTTGTTCAGTATTTTGGATTTGTTAATAATTAATTAATCAAAAAAGCAGAAAACGCATAGGTTCGATTCTGAGTTAACACGGTACAGCCACTGTAACATAACCAATACACTATTACGTGACTAGGTGGGCGTTTTTAACTCTTAATAAAATGATGTGGCAAGTTTTGCATCAGACGAGAAGCTTTTCTCCGTTAACTCGTCACTGGGTAGCTGTTGTATCTCGTAGTCGACAACTTGTGTCATATCGGTTAGCCCTCGGGGGCCTCCTGCTGGTTTGGGAGCCCCAGGCAGCTGCCTGCCTTGCATTAAATGGCAAGGGACGCGTCTGTGCGTCGCCACCGGAAATGGCTGTTCAGCAGCGATCTGGGCGATTATACCCGTATATACACTACATTGTGTGTTCAGCATAATACCTGTCATACATCATATATATAAAATATCAGAATAATATGTTACTGATAAGCCCACTATACGCCAAAATAACAGTCCTTACAGCTTTGAGTTAAACATGCCACTTACTAATTAGATCAGAACAACATTTTAGACATGTCTAAAGGTAGGCTTCTACTTGTTATATTGGCATTTATGAATAAAATATTTGGCCTGTATGATCAATACATTTATAATCATGAAAACATCCTTTTATTGCCTTCAAAGATAACAGGAGATCACATCCAAAACATGTGCTGAACAGTCTCTGGGTGGTTTTAACAATAGCATTTCACATCAGTCTCTTAAATCTTGTCATAATGATTTGCTTGATAACATTTGTGAATAATTTTAAATGGAACTTCCTTCACCTTATTAGTTATAAAAAAATATTAAAGAAGCTATACCCGATATTTTTTCTAAGTAGTTCATAAAAATGCTTTTTACTACATACAAGTTGTATCATAATACATCATTTAATTGAAAACTTGAGGTAATTGATTCAGCTGTGTAAGAATTACAAGCAGTGAAAAGTGCTGAGTAGAGTCTGAGCGGGCCGCTCTTTCTCCTCCGCTCACAGAACGAGCAGCGAGCAGCCTGCGTCCTCTAGCCTCTACAGCGCTGCTTAACACCAGGACTTCGACTTCAAAATTCGAATATAATTCTAAAATAAAAAATGATGAACAAAATAATTGAATACAAAAATGTGAACAAATATTAGACAACCCTTGTAATTCGAAATGTATTTAATGACTGCAAATAAAATAGTTAGCTCCCAAAGGTTTCACCGGGACGTGCTAGGCAGGTAACAGCTAAGCTAGCTAGTTGTTTCATGGTAACTTCCGGGTTTTTCGCAATCGCCTTTTGTCACATTGAAACAGTATTTTTGTCATGAAAACGTTAACAGCAAATTCTGAAATCATCCGTGCATGTGTGTTAAGGATGTATATGTGTACTGTATTGTCCGATTGACGTTTAATGGTGTTGATTGATAGATATGTAGTTGTTTATTGAGCGTGGCTAGCTCCGCTAGCTCCGTTGGCTTCTCTACACAGACAAGTGTGTAGTGACAGGTGCTGATAGCTTGTTGTACTTGCAGAGTAATGGCAGTATTTTACACACCTGAATTACAAACAGAGGTTGCATTGGGGCTTCGGTCATTATTGGTTTGAGAGTTCTGTTATCAAGAAAAAATGATCGGAAGAATTGCTGCTGCTGTTTTGAGGAGCTCTATAACACATTATAATTAAATATTAGAATATATTCTAAGGTTTTAAATTAATACATTCGGACGCGAAACTAGCGGTATTCTTTTACTTATGTATTGTGTTAGCAGTGCGTTGCTTTAGTGCCATTTTATCAGTGATTGTTGCACAGCTTACAAGAAGTTGCGCTAATGCTAATGTTAGCATATGTATCAGATCGCAAATAAAACTAGGTGGCTCTGTGTTATGAGAGCGTAGGGGAAATGAGAAGCCATTGAGCGAGTTGGGGGGCGGTGCTAAACATTCAAACATTGCAGAAACGGGTATAGCGCCTTTAATAATAAGCCAAACGAGCGCTACTCACTCGGCGACGTCACACCCGGACCCGTGTGAGCCGGAAGTACTTCTCCTTTTACCACCAACACGCTCGTTCCTATTTTGTAAGTCCATTTATCGCGCTAAATCGATGGATATTCAAGACTACAAGATGTGTACTACTCTGCTCATAGTACGTGTGCACTGCTCACATGTGCACAATAGGCTTCAGGCCGAAGGAGAAGGAGAAGGGGAAGCTTTGGACAGAAGAGGACAAATGACTACACAGTTGCTCGCGATGATTAGGAGGATCGACTTGACCGCAGCCATGGTGAAAATGGCCAACGGAATAAATTCAACAAGGTGCAGATGAATGGGACCCCCTCTGATTTGTTCATAACTATGTTCCTCACATGGACACTTTACCACTGATTCAGTGGAAATTCTACAGCGAGCGGTACCAGGACTAACAGACCACTGCGCTGTCAGGGGACAGGTACAGTAAAATATACGTCCTTATTTTAACTCCCTTATGTTTTCAACCTTGTAAATCGATATTTTCCGTTGCAGGTGTAAAAATTTGGAATTCACAAGAAAACAAGTGGAAAGCTTGTCAAAACATTTAAGATTTAATGATATATGTTAGTGTATAATACACAATGTCATCAGGAATGCCTGGAGTGATTATATATAAGGAAGTTGCATTTAAAATTATTCATAAATATAATCAAGCAAATCATTATGACAACATTTAAGAGACATTGATGTGAACTGCTAACAGCACATGTTTCGGATGTGATCTCCTGTTATCTTTCAAGGCAATAAAGGATATTTTCATGATTATAAACAGGCCAAATATTTTATTCATAAATGCCAATATAACAAGCAGAAGCCTGCCTTTAGACATGTCTACAATGATGTGTGTGTATATATATAAAGTTATTGTAGGTATGAGGGTGGGTAATGGGGTAAGTCCATCCATCCATCTTCTTCCCCTTAATCCATTTCTGGGTCAGGGGGGTGGCAGTCAGAGCTGCACCCAATTCACATAGCACCAGCCCCTCACTGATCCTCTGCAGGTGGTGAGTCCACAGGAGGTGGGGTAAGTCCGTCACATTATTTCAATGTTGCAGAAAAAGAGGCAGATAAACATAAGAATATTCTTCTTCCCCTCTGCTCCTTTCCAATCATGTGAATGTCTGATTTATGTATATGTTTTGAAGCTGATAAGTGCTACAGCATTTTTATGAAAGGAATAAATAAACAATAGAAAAAATGAAATCAACATGAAACGAGTCGTCTAAAGGTTATTACATTTATTCATGCGAGAACATTCATAAATGTTTGAACGGAGGCTCCTAGAACCCCCTTCACCTCGCGGTCCCACTGGTGTAGCTTTGTACGATGTTTGAGTGGTCGCCCCCTCCGACTAGAATAGATACACTAATCAGCAGTCTTGCATAGGGGAAGATATTCAGCAAATCTAGACTACGGTTTAAATGGCAGCTACAACCTCTAAAGGTATCAAACTTCATTGAAGGTGTTCTTGAAAAGCTGAGAAACGCACACTATCTTCAGAAGAAAATTTCAGCCAACATTCATTTACAGGGTTTGTACAAGATCCTACTGTACCCTTTTCACTTAACTCATAGACTGTGCAAACTGGGACATACTCAATTATTTCAGATGGCGTACTTGCGGCTATGGAGGAAAAGAAGGCGTGAGATGTTCCAGCTGCTCTAAGAAAGCAGTGAGGAAGAATCTGATGTAGATTCCAACAATTAACTGCCTGTGCTCGATGCTGATAAACATGGAACTGCATCTGGTGATGTTTCTGGATCTAATTGTGGGTCTGAAACCGATCTTGATGAGGATGTGTCTGGGACTGACCTCGATGTGGCTGACACCAACCTCGATGGCACCGATGAAGAATCAGAAAATCAAAGTAGTGATTTGGACTTTGAAGATGATCTGAGGGAGTGGGCTGTGAAAAACCAACAAACTCACAAGTCACTCAACGAATTGTTGGCCATATTGAGGAAGAAGGGTCACAAATTGCCGGCAGATGCCAGAACCCTACTGGCTACCCCGCAGGAAACATCAAGCCAGACAAATTGTGGTGGCCAGTATGTTTATTATGGCCTGGAAAGGGGGATTTGCCGTTTGCTGAGCAGGGAGAAGCATCATGAGGCTATCAATCTCAGAATTAACATTGATGGGATTCCCATCTTTAAAAGCAGTGGTCTCCAATTCTGGCCTATTTTAGCCAAGTTTGGTCATTTTGACCCATTTATTGTGGCAAACTTTTGTGGTCAGAAAAAGCCAACTCCCCTGGAAGATTATCTCCATGACTTCTTGTTGGAGTACAATCGCTTGAGGGACCATGGAGTAATTTACAAAGGGAGGTCTTACTCAGTTAAAATCGAGGCAATTGTGTGCGATGCTCCTGCAAGACCCACACCTCTTATTCAAGTTGCGAACGATGCAGCGTGAGAGGAGAGTATTCTGAGCGGCGCATTGTGTTCAACAGAGCGAATGACTGCCCACCTCGCACAGACTAAGGCTTCGGCAGGCAGGAATATGACCAACATGAAAAATCGGCATTAGCCCATTTATAGCCGCTGAAGTTCCTTGTGTCACTGGATTCTGCCTGGATTACATGCACATGGTGTGCTTGGGTGTGGTTAGGCGCTTGATGGCATTTTTGCTGAATGGCCCCAAAACATGCCGCTTGTCAGTGCGACAGAGAATGGCGTTTACAGCCAAACTCTGCCTACTACGTGGTAATATGCCCAGCGAATTTGCCCGGCAACCACGAGGTCTAGATACTCTAGAGCGCTGGAAAGCTACAGAGTACAGGCAGCTGCTTCTATACACGGGTCCAGTGGTGTTGCGAAACATACTGAACGGTATAGACATTTCTAAACACTGACTATTGCCGTGTCTATATTACTTGACGCCAATGATTATGTACGGAATGCATACTTGCACTATGCACATGAGCTGTTGAGGCACTTTGTATCATCTTGCCCTGTACTCTATGGTCCAACTTTTTCCGTGTACAATGTGCATGGGCTGCTACATCTACATGAGGATGCCGAAAACTTTGGAAGGTCTCTCAATGATCTGTCATGCTTTCCCTTTGAGAACTACCTGGTTTGGAATGGCAGAAATCCTCTCGAGCAGATTAGTAGGCGACTGTCTGAGAGCGAGATTGCTACACCAACACAGTCGACGTCAAGACGCATAATATCAGCAAAGCCAAGAGACCGCTGCTTCCTTTTGAGCAACAATCAACAGTTTGCGTTTGTGCTTGAGAGAAGAACTGATGGGTCTCTTTTGTGTGAAGTGTTGGATAGGTCTCAAACGGTGCCTTACTTCACGCAGCCATGTAACTCTGCCCTTATTAATATTGTGTACGCTAGAAGGCAAACCATAAAAAGAAGGGTCATATGGGAGAGTGACTTTACAGCGTAAGGTGGTGGTTCTGCCAGAAGAGGGGGGACATGTGCTCATACCTCTGAGGCATGGCATTGAGCACTGAACATAATATGTTGCAATTTATGTTAAATTGTAATCACCCAGCGCACACTGATACACTTTGCTGCCACCTTTTAATGAGTGAGCAATGATTTGATTTAAATAAACAAAGCTACATCTGTGAGTATGGTACTTTCTCTGCTGTTGGTCTTCCCACATTTCAATCTGGAGAGACTCAGAAGATAGAATGCAGTTTGAATGTTTTTAATGATAGGTAGTTTGGCGTCCTAGGCCCCGTGCGGCAATTAGGGCCAGCGAGGCTCCTGCTGAGTGCGCGCACGATCCCCCCGAGGCCTAGGAACTGGTGGTGGCATTAGGGTAGCAGGAAAGAGCACACGCTCGAGCAAGGAGAGAGAGGCCGAGGAGGGGAGGCAGTGGTTTGCGAGGCTTGAGAAGGCCGTAAAGTGGGAGTCTCCGCTTTTAAGCTGCTTGCCTGGCCTGCATAGGTTGGCTGGGAATGGGCGTTTGCTGTGCAATAGCCCGAGGATTAGAGGCAGGTTTGGAAGGGATAGCTTTGGCAATCAGTCTACCAGAGTGAACCTTCGCGAGCTCCATTAGTCTCTGCTGCTCACTTTGCAATAATTTTGGCAGATATTCTATTTGTTCTTCAATTGTCTCTTCATCTCCCCCTCATCCGGATGTTTTAATTATTTCAATTCCTCATATGCCTCCATTCTCGATATTATTTACTGTACGATTTACAAATGAGCACTCGACCAAAGAAACCTCATTTCAAGTTGAATGCTGCTTCAACCTGGAGAGACTACAAGAGACGAGATGCGTTTAAGAGTTGTTTATTTTATGGATTGAGTTTGTTTATTGGTTTGGAGCTTAGGCCCCGGCTGTGGCCGTGCTCTGAAGAGATCTGCGCCTGGGTGCAGATCATGATCCCCCGGGGCCTAGACACTGGTGGTGGCAACAAGGCAAGGTGAATGTGAGAGTGAAGAAATCCTGAGGCGGAGGTGGTTGCAGCTTGAAGTCCGTTTGGTGAGCTGTGCTCTGCTTTGCTCTTAAACGCTGGCTTGATTGACACGGCTGCGGGGAGTTGATTAAGACAGGCTGAGTAAGGCGTGGTCAAGCCTGGTGTGATAACGTAGGTAGTCTACCATCCTGAACCTCCGCTTCAGCTGCATTTCAACCTGGAGAGACTACAAGAGACGAGATGTGTTTAAGAGTTGTTTATTTTATGGATTGAGTTTGTTTATTGGTTTGGAGCTTAGGCCCCGGCTGTGGCCGTGCTCTGAAGAGATCTGCGCCTGGGTGCAGATCATGATCCCCAAAAAGAGAGCTTGGCTAGCGATGCGTTTGCCACGACTTGGTTGCTGCGTTTATGGAAGGCGCATGGTGTGAGTGACTGTTTCCGTGCGCGAGCTCAGCTCTAGCGCTAGGCGTTGGCACGCGCACGAGCTCGGCTCGAGTGCACGGCGTAATGTCCGTGCGCGAGCTCGGCTCTAGCGCTAGGCGTTGGCACGAGCTCGGCTCAAGTGCGCGGCGTAATGTCCGGGCGCGAGCTCGGCTCTAGCGCTAGGCGTTGGCACGCGCACAAGCTCGGCGTAATGTCTCCTCATTCCATGCTGGAATGAGGAGTTGCCACCACCAGGAGATGCATACGTACTTATATGAGAGGAGGCGCTGGGCTGCCAGAACGGATGAATGTGGTAGAGAACCGGGGACCGAGCTCCTGGAGAGATGATTGAGGGAGTCCCAGGGCAGCAGCCCAAGTGGCTGCTCCTATCCGGAAGGAGTGGCGGATGTAGAGAAAGGAAGAGAGGTTACATGCAGGGAGCGCAGGTTTTGAATTTGTTCAGATCAGGGGGTCGCCAAGGGATTGTTTAAGGAGTAATTATAGTTTCTGAATGTTGATAAAATGTCCATAGATGTTGTAGCATGTTAAAGTATCCTGGATCATCACCACGGGCCTTCTAGTTGGACACTAACTGTCCAGACCCTCCTGCATGGCAAGGAAAACTCACAAAACCCCGTGGGGAAAAAAGTGAGAAACCTTCGGAAGACCCTACATTGAGAGAGGGATCCACTCCACGGACAAACAGGCTAGTCGTCCAGGACCTAAACTACAGAACAAGGACCATTGCCATTACTCCTTTAAGGATCTTCTTATGAGGGTGGAGCAGTGTGACTCGAAGTGGATTTTAGAGAATGTATTTAATGCCGATGTAGATGAGGCAGTGACGGCAGTACCCGCGATGCTGATGTCCAGAGACTGAGAGTGTGCAGTGAGAGTCAAAGGAGAATGCTGAATGAAGGATGAACTGCTGGTGTTTAGAGCGCTGATATTCGAACATGATTCCACTTGGGGAGACTAGAAGGTGAAAATGAGATTCATGAAGTACACTTACCCAGGAAGATTGATGTTCGATAGGAGATCTCTGGACCCCCAAAAACCAACGCACAAGGGCCCGGTCAGAATGAGGGCCAGGGTGCGTCAGGTAAGGCGAAGCGTGAGACAGGCCCGGCGGCAGGAGCCCAGGAGAGAATATGCCTGGGGAACATGAGGAGAAGCACCGCCTACAGCCACTCAGAGTGCACGCAAACCGTGGCGGGCAGTGCTGCACACCAAAAGCCAATGAGTGCGGCCTGGGGAAGATAGTCGGCCAGGTTTGAAGGCCACGCCGAACAGTACTCATGCAGTCTTAGCAGGCCAGCGTTGCAGCAGGCCACCGTCGCGGTGTCGTAGCAGAGCTTTGGTGCGGCGTTGCGGCATCACGTTCCTGCGAAGCTGAAAAGAGAAATTTCGAACCACTATCACTCGAGTGAAAAGGACCAACGGGCAGTGTCAGACCACGTCTTCAGTCAGACCACTGACCTGATCCTTCGATGCCGGCTCTTCCCGTCATTGTGAAGCAGAACTTTCCAAGCGTTGGATTGTTCACCCACCAATAGGGAACGCGTGTCCATGGTCGACACTGGTCCCACGATGAATGGATGAGAGCACACGAATGCGTCGAAGCGTGGCGTCGAGAATGCGGCAGGAGGCGGACACCGACGTGGCGTCAAACAGCGGCCACCGGCGTGGAAGCGTGCGCCAACCAACGTACGGCGATGAAGCGTGCGGCCGCCGACGTGCTGCGATGAAGCGTGCGGCCGCTGACGAGCTGCGATGAAGCGTGCGGGCGCCGACGAGCTGCATTGAAACGTGCGCCGGCGTCGAGGCGTGCGGCGTCGTTGAGGCGTGCAGCGTCGTTGAGGCGTGCGGCGTGGAGGAGGAGTCGAAGCGTGCGGCCACCGACGTGGCGTCATCGAAGCGTGCGGCCACCGACGTGGCGTCGTCGAAGCGTGCGGCCACCGACGTGGCGTCGTCGAAGCGTGCGGCCACCGACGTGGCGTCGAAGCGTGCGGCCACCCACGTGGCGTCGTTGAAGCGTGCGGCCACCGACGTGGCGTCGTCGAAGCGTGCGGCCACCCACGTGGCGTCGTCGAAGCGTGGGGCCACCCACGTGGCGTCGTCGAAGCGTGGGGCCACCCACGTGGCGTCGTCGAAGCGTGGGGCCACCCACGTGGCGTCGTCGAAGCGTGGGGCCACCCACGTGGCGTCGTCGAAGCGTGGGGGCTTTGAAGTGTGGCGTAAGGCCAAAGCAATGGGCAAACGAACAGCACAGAGGGGCTCGGCCGCGCTCCGACCAATCAGAGCAGCTCGGGCTGTCCGTGCATCAGACACGGACAGCCCGGAAGCAATGCAGTGGGCAAAACTTACAGTCCACGGTCAATTAGACAGAGCGAAGGCCAATGCAGACGACAAATGTTATAGTCCATGGTTACAACTGACAGCCTGGAGGTCACTGCAGTGTGAAGAATGTTCAGCCCATGAGTAAAACGGACAGCCAGAAGGCCAACACAGTGGTTAAAATGTGCGGTCCATGGTGAAAACGGACGGTCTAAATGCCAATGCAGATGGTAAAATGAACAGCCTGAAGAGCAATGCATCGGGTAAAAACACAGCCTGCGAGCCAATTCGGCGGGAATAACTGACACGCCGCAGTTCAGTACAGTTCATGGTAGTGCGGAAAACAACGAAACCGACACTGTACCGTGAGTGGAGGCAGGGAGAAGGGTGGACAGCGGCAGGCAGACAACGGCAGGCAGACAGAAGTCCCGTTCCCGGTATGGAAGCGGCAGGGTGCGGCCAGAGTAACGCCTGGCCGCGAGCAGCAGCGGCCACGGGGAGATGAGCGGCAGCGAGTCCGCAGGAGAGGACCCGCGGTGAGCCGCGGTGGAGACACAGCGACCATGGCGCACAGCCCCCAACATGTGATGTGGAAGAGGAGCCGCGACCATGCAGGACGAACAATGTGCGAGGCGTGAGTAAACAAAGTGACGAAGAGCAACCCATTGCAGCTTGAAGTCCGTTTGGTGAGCTGTGCTCTGCTGTTTTCTTAAACGCTGGCTTGATTGACACGGCTGCGGGGAGTTGATTAAGACAGGCTGAGTAAGGCGTGGTCAAGCCTGGTGTGATAACGTAGGTAGTCTACCATCCTGAACCTCTGCTTCAGCTGCATTACTCAATAGTAATAATATTCTTACAGTCCGATTTCAGGTTTTGCCACAGAGACTGCATTTCAGAACAACTGTTCAAGTTTAAACAACTGACTCTGGTAACCATGCTATGCCGTTTGTTTGATGGTTCAATCAATATGTGGTTGAATAAGAATAGTTTTAACTCTTTTCTAAAAGTTGTGTTCTGCTTTTCAGATGTATGCCAGAGCTGTATGGGTGGAGAAGGGCAAGGAGATGGAGGGCACAGTTCCCTTCAATTGGGTGAAGGGCAAAAAAATATTTTTGCCTAGGCAGAAGGCTCAGCAAAAATTAATCCAGGGGATGACTGGTTGTCATTCCCATTGATAAAAATTAAAGTCACTTCAGGTATATTTGGATGTCCTATCTTGGTATACTTGACTCCAACTGTTGACCCAATTGTTTGTGGAAAGAGCTGGAATTGTATTGAATTTTACAGACAATTTACAGGAGTGTGAGAGTTATGCTCTGACCAGCCAGCAAGAGGAGGAGGAGGAGGGCGGGTGTAAAGAAATCATCCTCCCCCAGAAAAAAACTGGCCAAGGGGTGCTTTGAAGATTACATCACTGGTATTTCTGTTTAATATCATATTGATTATGACAGCATAAATAGATGGCATAGAAATGTAATGAGTGAGTTTGTTAACGGTTCTCACCCTTCCAGTCTGATGAGGGAGAGCAATGGTAGTGTAAGGATCTAGCGAGCACGTTACACAGGGGCCTGTCAAGACTATTGCGCACTAGACTAAGCAACTTGCTGATTTAAAATGAATCCTCTATGAAGGGATAATGTGTCAATGGCATAGCAGGGCTACAGAAAGGGGACTGTTAAATTAAGCAAGAAGCAGGAGTTGCCAGGTTTACCCTTCATGCTTCTGTGATCTAATATTAATGTTTCAATTTTCATTGATACAGGTGATCTGAATGGTTACATTTTATGTTCACAACACATGCATGCCTACAGCACACATCTTACTCACACTTATCCCAAGCGCACCATACATGTTTAATACATGGCACATTGTACCTCACCTTCCAGCTTATGGTTTGCCCTAATCAAGATTATGCCTGGAAAATTGTCAGCACTCAAAGGAAATATTATTCGTAATACCCTTAATTTGTGGACTTTTTATGTTCTTGAAACTAGGTGGAAAATTACTGCCCTTCCCTATTCCACCTGCTGACATTTATTCTTGTGAGTAAAAGCTATAGAAATGTAGATGATTTGGCATTAGAATGACAGCATATTTGACTATGTGGATTGTGTTCTATGTTAAAAAAGTGGTGCAAGAACAGCTTTTTTGTTAATGCAGGTAAAAAATGCTTATTGTTAATCAAACAGGGGTTCCAAAACCATTGTTCATTTCTTATGAACCTGTGGCAATTTGAAATGTTTTACATATTTGGGCACCATTATTGATGATGGACTAAATGTATGTGAGAATGTAGCTTCAGCACATGACATGTTTATGATTTCCAAAGGAAGTTGTTAAACAAACTCTTGCTTGTTTCAGATACTCAAAGTACATCTATTCCTGTCAATCGGGAAAGTCTGTTTAGGTTGTGGCAGTCTCTCTGTACACTTTCCAGACTGTAAAGAAATGCCAATTCTCCAACTTCCGCTTTTAATACAGTATAAGGTTAGCAAATATGAATCACACTGTAGTTCTCAAATTCGGAATATGGGCATTTGAAGTCAACAATGGTCATTTTGAATGTCTAATAATGTGTGAGAAACTCTGCAATTTGACACATCCAGATTTCCACCCATTATTTTCCAGTTCCTTCTTCCTCTACAACAAGGAACAAGGATGGGTTTCAAGAACGATCCTCCCCACTGAGAGCGAGGTGGCGTTCCCGTCAATCTCCCCCACAGAGAGAGAGGTCCCGTTCCCGTCAATCTCCCCCGCAGAGAGAGAGGTCCCGTTCCCGTCAATCTCCCCACAGAGAGAGAGGTCCCGTTCCCGTCAATCTCCCCCACAGAGAGAGAGGTCCCGTTCCCGTCAATCCCCCCCACAGAGAGAGAGGTCCCGTTCCCGTCAATCCCCCCACAGAGAGAGAGGTCCCTCCCGTCAATCCCCCCACAGAGAGAGGGTCCCGTTCCCGTCAATCCCACCACAGAGAGAGAGGTCCCGTTCCCGTCAATCCCCCCACAGAGAGAGAGGTCCCGTTCCCGTCAATCCCCCACAGAGAGAGAGGTCCCGTTCCCGTCAATCTCCCCCACAGAGAGAGAGGTCCCGTTCCCGTCAATCTCCCCCACAGAGAGAGAGGTCCCGTTCCCGTCAATCCCCCCACAGAGAGAGAGGTCCCGTTCCCGTCAATCCCCCCACAGAGAGAGAGGTCCCGTTCCCGTCAATCCCCCCACAGAGAGAGAGGTCCGTTCCCGTCAATCCCCCCACAGAGAGAGAGGTCCCGTTCCCCAATCCCCCCACAGAGAGAGAGGTCCCGTTCCCGTCAATCCCCCCCACAGAGAGAGAGGTCCCGTTCCCGTCAACAGAGAGAGGGTCCCGTTCTCATCCCCCCCACAGAGAGAGAGGTCCCGTTCCCGTCAATCCCCCCCACAGAGAGAGAGGTCCCGTTCCCGTCAATCCCCCCACAGAGAGAGAGGTCCCGTTCCCGTCAATCCCCCCACAGAGAGAGAGGTCCCGTTCCCGTCAATCCCCCCACAGAGAGAGAGAGGTCCCGTTCCCTCAATCACAGAGAGAGAGGTCCCGTTCCCGTCCCGTCCTCAATCCCCCCAAGAGAGAGAGGTCCCGTTCCCGTCAATCCCCCCCACAGAGAGAGAGGTCCCGTTCCCGTCAATCCCCCCACAGAGAGAGAGGTCCCGTTCCCGTCAATCCCCCCACAGAGAGAGAGGTCCCGTTCCCGTCAATCCCCCCACAGAGAGAGGTCCCGTTCCGTCAATCCCCCCCACAGAGAGAGAGGTCCCGTTCCCGTCAATCCCCCCACAGAGAGAGAGGTCCCGTTCCGTCATCCCTCCCCGAACCCCAGAGAGAGAGGTCCGTTCCGTCATCCCACGAGAAGTCCCCCCGCAACCCCCACAGAGAGAGAGGTCCCGTTCCGTCAATCCCCCACAGAGAGAGAGGTCCCGTTCCCGTCAATCCCCCACCAGAAGAGTCCGTTCCGTCATCCCCACAGAGAGAGGTCCCGTTCCCGTCAATCTCCCCCACAGAGAGAGAGGTCCCGTTCCCGTCAATCTCCCCCACAGAGAGAGAGGTCCCGTTCCCGTCAATCCCCCACAGAGAGAGAGGTCCCGTTCCCGTTAATCCCCCCCACAGAGAGAGAGGTCCCGTTCCCGTCAATCCCCCCCACAGAGAGAGAGGTCCCGTTCCCGTCAATCCCCCCACAGAGAGAGAGGTCCCGTTCCCGTTAATCCCCCCACAGAGAGAGAGGTCCCGTTCCCGTCAATCCCCCCCACAGAGAGAGGTCCCGTTCCTGTCAATCTCCCCCACAGAGAGAGAGGTCCCGTTCCCGTCAATCCCCCCACAGAGAGAGAGGTCCCGTTCCCGTCAATCCCCCCACAGAGAGAGAGGTCCCGTTCCCGTCAATCCCCCCACAGAGAGAGAGGTCCCGTTCCCGTCAATCCCCCCACAGAGAGAGAGGTCCCGTTCCCGTCAATCCCCCCACAGAGAGAGAGGTCCCGTTCCCGTCAATCCCCCCACAGAGAGAGAGGTCCCGTTCCCGTCAATCCCCCCCACAGAGAGAGAGGTCCCGTTCCCGTCAATCTCCCCCACAGAGAGAGAGGTCCCGTTCCCGTCAATCCCCCCACAGAGAGAGAGGTCCCGTTCCCGTCAATCCCCCCCACAGAGAGAGAGAGGTCCCGTTCCTATCAATCCCCCCCACAGAGAGAGAGGTCCCGTTCCCGTCAATCCCCCCCACAGAGAGAGAGGTCCCGTTCCCGTCAATCCCCCCCACAGAGAGAGAGGTCCCGTTCCCGTCAATCCCCCCACAGAGAGAGAGGTCCCGTTCCCGTCAATCCCCCCCACAGAGAGAGAGGTCCCGTTCCCGTCAATCCCCCCCACAGAGAGAGAGGTCCCGTTCCTGTCAATCCCCCCCCCACAGAGAGAGAGGTCCCGTTCCCGTCAATCCCCCCCACAGAGAGAGAGGTCCCGTTCCCGTCAATCCCCCCCACAGAGAGAGAGGTCCCGTTCCCGTCAATCCCCCCACAGAGAGAGAGATCGGGAAGAAATTTGTCTCCCCACTTTCCAACGTCCACAGCAAGTAAGTTTACATTTTTAATACATCAGAGGAAGCATAATGAACGATGCATCTAATGTGCATGATTTTGTTGATGTTGTTAGAATTTCAGAAAAAGGTGTTGGCAAAATTAGTGGCCATTCATGGACATTAAAAGGGCTCTTCAGCGACCCACTCACCACACATCAAATCTGAAAAGGCTAGAAGAGATGTCCGAGTACTTGAGCTTGGAGGAGGATCTAGCCGACGAGGACACCTTCCAGAGCATGGTGAGTTTTCCACAAAGGAAAATGGTTTGCTTAACGTGGTGTTGACTGTTGGTTTGCAATTCTTGGTCAGAGGAAGTACCCAAACTAACCTAACTAATATCTGTGATATGAAAGCTGTGGCACCAAATGATCCCCTAAATGAATAATACACATAGCATGTCATGTGTCCTGACATGTGTCCTGACATGTGTCCTGACATGTGTCCTGACATGTGTCCTGACATGTGTCCTGACATGTTTTCTAACCTGGTCTTATGTTTACTTCCAGCACTGAATGTGATGTCCTCTTTCTCTTTTGTTCTCTGAAGTTGCAGCAGTTTTCTCGGGTTGGACGGAAGGACCTGAAGGACTGTGTCCATAAAGTTCTTGACCGGTAGGTTGTGTTATCGCTTTTGGCAGTTAACCCTTTATGTGCCAGGGGTTCTGCCATAATAAACTGGATTCAGACATCTTAATTTCATAAGGCTGTAACTTCAACTTTGTGTCATCCTATTTATTTCACTGATAGTGTCTTATCATTTGTAAGTTAGGTATTCAATTCACCTATCAAATTGGCATATTAAGTAGTCTGTGGTGGCAATCATGATTTTATCACTAGGACATGAACACTCTAACTTAACTATTTCACTGAACATTTAGCATGGTGCAATGCTAGTTCTGTTAAAGTTCAGTGTAAATCAATACTGTAAGCAGCCTGCCAAGTGTCAGTGCGACTCTCCCTGCTGTCCCCTGCTGTCCCCCTGTCTCTAGGCTCTCTTTCCCGTACAACAAGATTAAGGCTTCTCCATCACTTTAATGCCCCTGTGATTTTGGGGATGCACAATAATACATCCATGGGAGGCACAAGCAGGTAGTTGAACAGGTGTTGTACTCTGTAAACACTGTACAAAACCAAACTCAAAACACAGCTGTTCACAATCTCTATTTCAGTCTAGTCCTTTGTCTTTCTGTTGTTGTTAAATTGATTGATTCTTGTTCTGTATTTTAATTACATGCATAGTGTTTATGTCCTCGGGTTTTTAAATACTCTTATAATGTGTATTATTGGATATTGTTCAGATATCTTTTAATGAGGCATCTCTTTCCCTCAGATTGTTCAGCAACTCTCTGATGAGCCACTTTAATATGAAGGGCAGGGGACACAAGGGGAAAATGCCTTTTGAAAAGAGCAATGTGTACAGGGCAATATAGGGTAAGTGGATGTCAGGCCTCATGTGGGGCAGTGGTTTTTTGCCATTCAAAGACAGTTCTGAGGTGTTGCAGAATACTTGACCACATTATGTTGAAAATGAACTGTTACCCCACATTTTCAGGTGCTGTTCTGCTACATTGTAAAGAGGGGACTGAAGACGAAGTGAGGATGTATGTTGGGGATCACCTCAAACATGCCTCAAGACGTGGAAGGCCTAAAAGAGGAAACTGCCAACGTTTTGATTTCTCCATTCACATGCCTTACATGTAATAAATTCACTTGCCATATCCCTTTCTGATTGTTTTTTTACAACTCGAGAACCTAGAGTGACATTTTCTGAATGTGGTGTTGAGCATGTTTTGATACTGATCCGAACATGGTTCATGTGTTCTCTTTAGCATCAACTTTTCAGTATGTTTGTACTAATGACACCTTCATCACTGTGGCCTAAATGGGATCAAATTATCCTCAAGTAGGACTTGTAATTTTGAAAGAATGTTAATTATAATCTATAAAAATAAACGCATGTAGTTAGGTGTTGTCTTGAGGGCTACAAGTGGGAGCCTGAAACTGCAGCAGTGTTTGGCAAGTTACTTTGAGAATGTAATGTGTTACTAATTACTATAAGCAGCTAGTGTACGTTACTTTTTGTAACAAAATCATGTTCATTTGCTTTAATTAAATGAAGGTGAAATGCAAATGAGTTCTAATGTATATTTAGGCTGTGCTTATCGTTTATTGCTAAATGTTATGTTGGGTATGTAAGTGATTTGGCATAACTGGGTCAAATGGACTGAAAAAGGAACGTCGTATGAGCGTGAATATTTTGGTCATATGAGACGTTATTAGAAAGTCGGACCCGACCGGTTCTGTACCAGATTCAGACCTTGAATGGACATGCCATCTACGTTGAAATGACGTTGTTTTCACATCTGAATGCTAAGTGGAAAGGACTGGAGAGGAGCGTCATATAGACGTCTATTTTGGTCATATGAGACGTTATTAGAACGTCTGACCCGACCGGTTCTGTACCAGATTCAGACCTTGAATGGACGTGCCATCGACGTCAAATTCGGAGGTCCAGCTGACGTTGGGTAACGACGTTGAAATGGCGTTGTTTTCACATCCTTAGCTTAGTGGGAACGACTGACAACAAACGTCATGTGAACATGAATATTTTGGTCATATAAGACGTCAATAGGACGTCGGATCCGACCGGTTCTGCACCAGATTTGGACCATAAATGGACGTGCCATCGACGTCAAATTTGGAGGTTGAGGTGACGTCGGGAAACGACGTCGCGAAAACTTTCATTCTGCACCCACCAGTGACCTATATTCTACGTCATGCAACGACGTTGAAATGACGTTGAATCAACGTCGGCTTGCTTAGTGGGGTATATGGAGTGTCCCAGAGGTGTCCCAGAGATGTCCCAGAAGTGTCCCAGAGATGTCCCAGAAGTGTCCCAGAGATGTCCCAGAGGTGTCACAGAGATGTCCCAGAGATGTCCCAGAGATGTCCCAGAAGTGTCCCAGAGATGTCCTAGAGGTGTCCCAGAGGTGTCCCAGAGGTATCCCAGAGGTGTCCCAGGGGTGACCCAGAGATGTCCCAGAGGGGGATAGGAAGAATAGGTATGAACGAGCTCAGAGCCCGTTGAGAAAGAGATTGGTTTGCATTTAAAGGAACAGCATGGGGATGACATGAAGAAGTCCCAGCACTGGCCAAGGTGTAGGGTCAGAGAGTGTTTGTGCCTGTGAGTTTGTGTGTGTGTGTAGATGTGTATTTCTGTATATGTGTGTGTGTCTCTCTGTATCTGTCTGTGTGTGCGCTTGTGTCTCTGTGTGTATCTAACCTCCGTTGTTGATTTTGTCTTTTTGTGTCCATCAATTTTAAATAAATAATTACTACTATTAGATGTGTACTACTACCACAACTACCACTACTACTACTACTACTACTACCACCACAACTACCACTACTTCTACCACTAATACTACTACTACCACTACTACTACTACTACTACTACTACTACCACTACTACTACTAGTACCACAACTGCTACTACTATATTATGTTAGCAAGACTCGCTTTTATCTCTCAGTCTTTTCAGTGCAAATATCCCAGTTCTCAGAAACGTGTCCCGGTCCTCACAGAGACACAGCTGAAGTTGGGGATCTTTTTTTTTAGTATGAAAACGTTTCCCCAAATATATAGACATTTACACATAATAGATGTTGAAAGCTGTGACCATTCTTTGCTCTAGTTGTTGGTTGAGACTTGTGCTTGGCCTGGTCCTCCTCTCTCCACCCTGACCGCCAGTTCCCGTCGGCTTGCACTTTATATAGAGCTGTCCATTGTGTAGGCAGTGGCACCGGCTCCGTAATAACACACTGGAGTCATCATTTGTGGTTTGACCATACTTTCTCTCATTCCTGCTCCCTCTCCCCTCCTCTGCTCCGTCACAGAGACACAAAAACACCAGATGGAGACGTGACCGCGAGAGGACCGAGCTGCTTCGCTTTTTGTTGATAAAATGACTACATAAAGATGAGTCGTTTCCAACATTTGCAAAAAAATAAGAAGCTAATTTGGCCTCGGCACAGAGAAGTTTAAAGCAGCTCTGTTTGTTAAAAGTCTCTCCATGGGCACGTACCAAAGTACATCTGTGACATGTTAGTGCCATAAGAAGCAACGCTGAGGAGCACAGGGACTGGCCTCCTGCTGGGACTCTGAGGAGCACAGGGACTGGCCTCCTGCTGGGACTCTGAGGAGCACAGGGACTGGCCTCCTGCTGGGACTCTGAGGAGCACAGGGACTGGCTTCCTGCTGGGACTCTGAGGAGCACAGGGACTGGCTTCCTGCCGGGACTCTGAGGAGCACAGGGACTGGCCTCCTGCTGGGACTCTGAGGAGCACAGGGACTGGCCTCCTGCTGGGACTCTGAGGAGCACAGGGACTGGCCTTATGCTGGGACTCTGAGGAGCACAGGGACTGGCCTCCTGCTGATGCTACAGAGTCAGTACTAAACTTTGGGAGGCACACTGCAAAAAGTGCTGCTCATGTTTGGCAAAATCTATCTTGATTTGAAAACATTCTGACTGGGACTCAAACAAGATTTGTCAATGCAACAAGCAAAATTATTTTATGTTTTAAAAAATACAAGAAATGTCTCCCTTTGAATGAGAAAACAAAGCAAGTTAAATAAGATTAAACATATTTGTCCCATTGTTTAAAAGAGTCAGAATGCACTCAAAGCAGCATATGTAAGATTCTAGTCATCATTAAATGTCCCTAATCTGTCAAAAGTCATTAATAAACCTCATTACACGCACCTCACAGCAGCAGGAGAACGCTTCATTAATTTGAGTGTAATTTCAAAACGTTCTACCGGTCATTATTTCTTCATAAGCGACCTCTCAAAACAATAATGACCGCTGCAGAGAATGCTTGTAATTCATGTGTGAAGATTACTCCGCAAGTAGTTCCAGCCACTTCGTCATAACTGAAAAAAAGTACCTTCAGGGTTCTTAATTTTCCGATAATGACCCCTACTATACATGTACATTATTCCTTACATGTTCTTTTCCAATCCTTCTTTAACTGATAACAGTAGTTCAGAGATATTCGAATTTCAAAATGAGTTTTCCAGCCCCTAAATCTTGTTATTGTTTTTATTTCGATGTCCTGCCTTCTACCGTTTCACCAATCAGAAAGTCTGTGATCCGGGCACCAGAACTCACCGCATTGAGCTAATCTCACTGGTAAAGTACCATGTGGCGCAGAACTAAAAAAGGTCTCGTTCTGATTCTCAAATCATTAACGACAAAACAAGGAATAAAAGCAGGATTTCTATCTTTGTGAAAAAGGTGTTGGTTATAGATTTGTTGTTGACAAAACTCTTGTCTATTCAGCTGTTTTGGTCCCAGATGGATTCGTCTGCATATCTGGCAACCTGAGTCAGGGAGAGTGGGAGAGGCTGCAGTACCACTTTTGGCCAGATTTATACATTCTGCTCCTCCATCCATCCATCCATCTTCTTCCCCTTAATCCATTTCTGGATCGGGGGGGTGGCAGTCAGAGATGCTACCCATTACACAGAGCACCAGCCCCTCACTGATCCTCTTGCAGGTGGTGAGTCCACAGGAGCCGAGATCTTTCAGCGGGGGCTTCAGGCAAAGTGGGGTTAAGTGTCTTGCCCAAGGACACAACGACAGTAGTCATCAGTGGGAATCGTGAAGTAGGTCTCATGGTGGGCTTGAACCCACAACCTTCAGGCCCAAAGGCCAATGCTCTACCAACTGAGCCACTGTCGCCCTCCTTTAATTCTGCTCCTTTAAAATAAAAACATTCAATTCAAGCATTTATTACCTCATGTTTTATCTTTTTTTAAATTTCAGATTCACACAGCTAAAATCTGAAACAGTCTTCCTAAAAATGTGAGACAGACTCCTGCTCTGACAATGTTCAAATCCAGGTTAAAACCAGTTTTGTTTTGTTAAGCACTTATGTATGAATTGTGCGACACAAAGAAACTTCCCTAATTGCCGCCCTTCTCAGCACTTTCTTATGCTTCTATAATTATAATCCAAACCAGCACCATGCAGAGGAACACTTATTACAGGTATGTTTTCGCTCTCATGCGGTTGTCGGAGAAAGAGCTAAAGTCAAAAAGTCTCCGATGTGCGTCTGAGGTCCTCGACGATATTAGGCTGCCCACAGAGACGCCTGATTACTGTAATTACTGGTATTTGTGCTGAGTTCATGGTTATGGTTATGCCGGTGCTGGGGATGAAGTCACTGTCAAAACATTGCAGCAGATGGAGTGTGCTGTAGGTGGAAACGGCCTCCGAGGTTTGGGAGAGCGCCGTGTTGTCGTCTCCGTCCGTCAGATTTACGTTTGTGTGTGTTAATGATTGTCCAAATGTAAGGATTTTTGAATGTGGAAGGCTCGAAACTCCACCATTCTTTCACAATGTTTTTATATCACAGGTGACTGGTCCAACAGTTGGAAAGTAATAAGAAAGTACACTGCAAAAAAATGATTTAAAATAAGTCCAAGATTGCTCAAATTTGGCAAAAGTTATCTAAGTTTGAGTACATTCAGACTGAGCCTTAAAACAAGATTAGCCAATGAGACAACTAAAAACCAGCGTGATTTAAAAAGATACAAGAAATGTCTCAATTGGAATGAGAAAATCAGACTTGAAAAAAACAGAATGGCTTTGTCCCACTGGAGAATCATGTTTGAAGACATTCAGAATGTGCTCAGATCAAGATCAAAACCAGTCGATTCAAGAATCTATTGCCTCATATTTCATCGATTTGTGTGTAAGCAAGTAATAAATCTTTACTTTATCTCCACTCTATCTTTATGAAAACTTACATTGGGTCCATTAGAAGAAAGCAGCATTGTATTGTGATTATTTATAAAGGTAAAAACACCACTTATCTGCCATGTTTGTGTCTCTCTGAACACAAGAGCATTGGAGTATTTGCTTTTAAAATCTGTTAAAATCTGAAGTAGGATTTAATGCTTTTGAACCAGTTGCGTCCCAATAATGAATTTGCCTCCAAACAGTCGCAAAGCTGGACATTCTGGAGCCACTTTCACATTCTGATCATTTGTTTTATTTCTCCGTTGTAAGCGGTTTGTGTGAGCTCAGAACTAGTTTGTCGTATTAGTAAACTCTCTGCTTCTATGATGTGAATTCTGGCTCACAATTTCCAAAACCCTGATCTAAAACACAAACGTTCCCGGCATCTTTGTGATTTGGTCTCTAAGGATCATCTAAGGATCAGTTGTGACCGGCTGCCAACAAAAGAAGTTATCAGTGAGTAAAGTTGTGTCCAAAGAGATTCTCCTTTCACAGCTGAAGAGCATTTCTCTGACAATAAGACTTTGCGACTTGTAATTAATGAACAAATCTGGGTTTTGGACCAACCGGACTCCATTCCTCCCAGAACTGGACGATTCGACGGAAAACTATTTTGGCGTTGCACTTCTTCATTAGTTGGCTGAATAAACAGCTCAAAAGGACCATGTCTAACCCAATGTTTGTATTGAAAAGGTTTTAGTCGACCGATTTCACAGTGACAATTGTTTAGTGTGTGTGTGTGTGTGGTTTTTTTTCTACTTTTAACTTGGTTTTATTTATGCACTTGTCTTGCTCATCCTGTGGACTTTTGCGGATGTATCTGTAACTTAAAGGAACTTAACTTAAATGTGGTTTTACTGCAAACTGGCAATAAAATGAATCTGAATCTGTATAAGAACTGTCAGTGATTGAACTTAGCTAGCATTCAAGTTTAAAACTAAAAAAAATAGATGTATACTTTCTCTGGCTTCCTGTGGCTTGGAGAATAGACTTTGAAACAGCTCTGCCTCCGTACTTCTCGATTGTCTGACAATCTGTGTATTTCTAAGTCTTACCTGTGTCTTACCTTCCTAACCATGTGCAAAAATAAGTTTGAGGTAAGCATGCTAACGTGAGCTAATGTTTGCATCCCCAGAGTGTATTCAGTTTTATATTACGTTTCGTCTAGAACCATAACTAGCATAATAAAGAAGCTAGTATAAAACCTCTAGCTTTAGCATA